TATGGACTCGCCACCCGCCACACCCCCATCCCTGAGCCAGCAAAGGAGAATGCTGGATCAAGAACCTCTCTTTCTCCATTGTTGATCCTCCATTCCACACTGGCCAATCTTCTCTAGGTCATTGACATTTCGTAAATTCCCTCAAGTCTTCTGCCTATTCTCTCTCACTGACTTCTCAAAAGTATCTGGTCTTGAAAATCCTAGTGCTAGGCCAGAAGATTCTTCAGCCATTTGGCTTTGGGTCCTTCTGGATAGGGGATTCCTAGTCCAGAGGGTTACTTCTTATTTCTCATGGTAGTTTGTTTAGAAGTGGGGATGCCTGCCCTAATCAGTCACCTTTGGATTTGTGGTCTGTGATTCACCCTCCCTCTCTCATGGGCCAAGCCACACTCCTTCTGCACAGTCATGGGGAAGATCATGCACAGCCATGGGGAAGATCATTTTCTTTTGTAGCACTGTTTGGCCACAATATAAACTAGCTTCAGTGGCCTGAAAATGGCACTTTCATAAACTTAGCAATTTAATTTCTGTCACCACAATGAAAAATGGTCAGAGATTCCCTATGTCCAGGCCTTTTGCATCCTCCAGTCCCAACCCTCTCTCTGTTAGTTCTTCTCTACCCATCAGATCCTTCTCCTTCACACAAAACTTCATACTCCTAACACTTCTGATTCTAAATCTACTTTGATCCAGCAGACCACAACTTCTACCCCCTTACGCATTCCCTCCCTCATCTGCAGTAGATTCGAAAAATACAGACCATCCTAATAGCAACCACCTTCTCCCCAGGACCCTGAGAGCCCAAATCCTGAAAACCTGAATTCTAATACAGCCTTTTTCCTAACACTCATTCTCAAGCAACACAAAGACTGCCTTCCTCAATAGCCACTTCTGTTCCCATGCCCATTCCACCCCTGAGGGAGGTAGCATGAACTGAGAACATAGTCCAAGTCCACATCCCATCCTCTATGTCTAACCTCACACAGATTGAAAGGCGTCTCAGGTCTTTTTCCAATGGCCTGTCCAAGGAATTGAGTACCTGACCAAGTCCTATCACCTGTCCTGGCATGACATTTAAGTCATCCTGTCCTCCTCTCTAATCCCAAAGGATAAGGAGTGCATTTGGATATCAAATCAGGACCATGCCAATATCCTCCATAGACAGGATGTGGCAGCAAACCCTGTTGTACTGATGCGTTCCTCAGAACTGACCTGAGATGAGACTATCAGGTTACTTCTCCAGGGCACCAGCTCTGTAGCCAGATTGCCAGACTCAAAAAATGTTTCCCACAAAGTGGTCAACTATGATGTAGGTTTGAGGCACAGGAAACTGACCACCAGGATATTTTAAAGTAAAGTTTATTCCCCAGTAATGAGCGGGACTTATTACGGAGGTAGAGAAATCAGAATTGAAGGAGTTGGGGATTGGGGATGGACCCAGCCAGGCTGCCACCTGGGCATAGAAGATCAGCAACACGTGGCTGGTCTGGGGGTCTTTTTAAGGGGAGGAACAGGAGAGGGTTGGACCCAGGGCAGAACAGGAAGGGATGGGCTCCAGGACACTTTGGTATGCACTGATTGGTGGCTCAATGTCTTGGGGATGTCTCTGTGACAGATGCCAGTAATGTCATGACTCCGCCCACCAGTTGGGAGGAGGGAGAACCTTATATATGATAAATGTAATGAAATCACTCAGGGCCCTGACGAAAACCCAGCTCTCTTCCTCTTCTGTCTCACAAAGACCTTACAGAAATTTACCATCTTAAACCCACTTCTCCAGAGGGAACCCTTCCTCTGAATACCCATTTTATATCCCATTCAGCCCTGACATATGCTGCAAACTTAAAAAAATAGACTCAAGTCCACAAACCCCTCAAAAAGACCTTTTTAACCTGGCCTTTAAAGTCTTTAATAACAGAGATGAGGAGACCCAAATCCAAAACAAAGGTGAGATCAGGCCAAGGCTGAGGCCCAAAGGAGGCCCTCCAGCTCCTAGCCATCACTCTTGTGAACCCCCAACAAAGTGCTGGTCCTCCAATTAAGGGTAAGTCAGGGGCCAACCCTCCTCTGAGCCCATGCTTCAAATGCGACAAGGAAGGATAATGGGGCAAGTCCTGCTCAAACCTAAGACTCCTGCCTGAGCCCTGCCCAAGGTATGGAAGGGAAGATCACTGGAAATCAGACTAGTCTGGCCCCTCCAGGTTGGACCTTGGACAATCCATCCAGGCAACCTTCTGGGTCCAGTTTGGAGCTCTCAGACCTCTTGGGACTGGCCACCAAAGACTGAAGCTGTCCAAGTCCAAATAAGGCCCCACAGACTTACATCGCCAGAAAAGAGCCTTGGGAAATGATTGTGGAGATAGGTAAGCCAATCTCTTTTTAATTGACATAGGGATCACTTATAATGCCCTCCCCGAATTTGCTGGGAACCTTGTCCTCCCCTCAGCTTCTATTATATGCATTGACGAACGAATTAATCTCAGAGCCATTAGCAACCTCTTCTCCATACTGCATCGTACTAAACACCCTTTTATCCATCAGTGCCGGTCCAGGACTACTGCACATCCCCTCATAAAACCCAATTTTTCCAAATTACCTGCCTCAGTTTCACTCTCACCCACAAAGCTGAGCCAGTATCTTGGACCTTAAATAGCTTATCTCCTCCATGACTGTCACCCTCCTCTAGATAAGAAATGGGCTCCTTTCTTGGGATCACTGAATACTTTTGCCTCTGGGTTCCCAAATTTAGTCTTCTTGCAAAGCCCCTCTATGACACATCAAAGGGAGCCCTCACTGAACTTTTAGGTCCCAATGCCAGCATTTTCATCCCTTTAATGCTCTGAAAAAAACTTACCTCACTGCTCTCTCAACCCCCTTCTCAATGAATACATTTCTTTACTTAAAAATTGCAAACACTTACTTAACAGTCCTACTACTATCAGAAGCTTAACTCATTATCATTCTTTATCATGTTATCTCTAAGGAAAAATGTGGCAGTTTTAAATCCAAGTGGCTAGAGATCTGGGAACAGGCTGCTGAACCTGCTTCATCCACTCCTCCCACCCCCTATCCCTTCTAAGCCTTTTCTTCAGCCTCATATGACTATAGATAATTTTGTAAAGTCTTCGGTAACTTAAAGACTTTAGAGCATTGTAGGATTAAATGATAAACATCAAAGTATTTTAAAATAACATAAAATAATGAAACACTGATAGCTAGACAAGTTTTAATTTGCCTGCTCTTGGCTCTTATTATAAAAGGTCTATAGAAGGTTTGTGTTGTTCAGTGAGTCAGGACCCAATCACCCCTGATGTTCGAAGGGATCCCTTCTTTCCTAGTAAGCTAAAGCAGTCCTTCCCAGGCTCTCTCCTGTTGTTAAATCTTTATATCTAGATTTTATTTCCACTGCTCATTCACAGTCCTTGACACTATTGAAATCAACAGGTCTTCCTGCTTGGTATTTAGGAATCTCCCCTTTTCTAGCCTTCTTAAAAGTCAGACACTGCAAAGGACACCAAGTCAGGAATGATCCCATAATACAGGGAATTAAAGCAGACCAGGAAGCCAAAGCAGCAGCTCAGAAGAAGCCTTTATCTCCCCTACTCTTGGCTATACCCCATATAACACTCTAATATACTCCAGAGGAACATCTGTCCCTATTAACTCTTGGGTGAAGTTCTTGTTATCCCAGTTTTGTAGGCATCTAGAGTTTTCTTGTAGGTCCTGAGATAGGATTTCAAAATAGGAAAAAGCAATGGTTAGGCCTTCTATGCCAGTTCCAACATTTGCTGTGATGCCAAAGGTTATTAGAGAGGAATTATCTGAACTGCCCTCTTCTGTTGGATATGGTGAGTTGAGACAGGTAAAGACTGATTGTTGGGGCTGTTTAGCCAAAGACCACATTCTGCTTGTTTGGGGTTGATGAACCTTTGAGACTCTTTAGGGAAGTCCTCAACATGAGCCTAGATAGCTATTTGTTTTAAAAAGCCACTGGAATAGGCTTGTATGGGCCTGCAAGTTCAGTGTGTCAGGGTCTCAGAGAAATCAGCAGAGCAGGGCAAACACTGTTAGCCAAGTTGATGGAGACTCAGATCTGGTGCTTACTTGCACCTGCAAGAGGAGGAATCAGCAAACAAACAATAGCTTCTGCCAGCACTTCTAGCTGGGGAAAGCTGCCCCTCCAGCCCTCACCCCAAAGCCAGATAATTCAGTTCTTCTCTGTATGTCCCTGGTGCCTTTTGAGCTGCTGCCCCACCAATAGAGTTCAGAACCAGTGAGTCCCTCAGCAGATAAATTTGTGAACTCCTGGGACTCCAGAAGCTATCTCAGTCAGCCACAACCTCCATTAGTTTTCACATTTAGAAGTTATGAGGACTCCTCTTCATGGTACTGGACCTTGTGCTTGGTGACCTCATGTGGGACTGGGACCCTTTATACTTCATGAGGACATGTGCAGCTAAGATATCCCTCCTAAATTTTAACCACCACATATGGATGTGGGAACAATCTATTCTGCAACTCTGCTCCTCCTAACAATCTCTACATAACTTTTCCTGTAGATCATTAGTTATAGGATTCTGTTCAGCTAGACTTCAGGCAGTTATCAGTGATGATTGTTCTGTAGTTTAGTTGTAATTTTGATGTGGTCGTGGGAGGAGATGAGCATAGTATTTACCTATGCCACCATCTTAACTGGAAGTCCACGGTGACTTGGACTTTTAAGTCTTCTTTCAAATGTTCCTGGAGAAGAGTCTTGTTCTGCACATTTCGGACTACACATCCTTATCATCTGAAAAGTTTAAAATATAAATGCCTGGTACTACCCCCAGATATTTGGTTTCATTTGGCTTATGGTGGGAAACAGTCATTGGTACTTTTTAAATATATATATTTTTTATTGATTTCAGAGAAAAGAGGGAGATAAGAACATTAATGATGAGAGAGAATCATTGATCAGCTGCCTCCTGGCATGCTCCCCCTACTGAGTCTGCAACCTGGGCATGTGCCCTCACTGGGAATCAAACCACAAACTCTTGGTTCATAGGTTGAGCGTTTACGCTCAACCACTAAGCCATGCTGACTGGGCCACTGGTCCTTTTTAAAAGATGCTCCAGATGATTTAAAAACGCAGTCAGGATGACAGCTGATTAAAAAGAAATTGAGACTAGACCAGTGTCAAAGGAGGAATAAATCTGCAGACACATGCAAAAGTCTCGCTCTTGATTTTTTCAAACAAAACAAACACGCATATGTATTATTACACATTCTTTTCTGCCCTGTGTTTTCTGTGTTTTTCCCCCTTCCATTGGCATGGACAATTTGAGATTCCTATAAGTAAGTAAATCATTCCTAAAATGCACTGACATACCTTCATATTGCTCTTTCTCCCCAGGATCTAGATGAGTATTTGCTTTTTCACTTTGGGGTGCTTCAGGATGAATATTGTACTGTAGACCCAGACAAGACCTACTGCATCTGCCTTTTATTTTAGTGTGATTGTCAGGCAGAGTGGAGAGAGAGGTGGTGATACCCTCTCAGAAGGTTAAAAACCATGGTATTTTTAAAAAAATATATTTTATTGATTTTTTTACAGAGAGGAAGGGAGAGAGATAAAGAGCTAGAAATGTCGATGAGAGAGAAACATCGACCAGCTGCCTCTTGCACACCCCCTACCGGGGATGTGCCTGCAACCAACGTACATGCCTCTGACCAGAATCGAACCTGGGACCTTTCAGTCCGCAGACCGACTCTCTACCACTGAGCCAAACCGGTTTCGGCAACCATGGTATTTTTTAATCTTGTCAGTACATTTAAATTATCTGGGAAACAGAAAATTTTTGATAACTGAGTCCCACCTCCAAAAATTCGGATTTAGTTATTCTACAGAGTGGCCTGGACATGGAGATTTTTAGAAGTTTCTTCAAGTGATTCTATTATAGTATGCACCTAATATTGAGAACTATTGTAACAGGAGGTTCATGGCTGTTCTAATTTGGCAGGGTAACAGCACCAAGAAGAGTGGAAGAGCAGAGGAGAAATGTCCCCTTTCAGTTGCTCTTACTCCTGGAGAAGATGCAGGACAGTCGACATAAAGCAGTGAGACCCATGGAACTCGTCTACTGTCTCCAGAAGTACAATGTACCATGTAAGACAGTGCTCCCAGCACTTGCTCCTGTGCTCTAAAAGGTGTGAGGGAATGAGAAAGAGATAGGAAGAAGGAAGAGGGGGAAGAAAAGAAGAAGGAGGAAAGAGAAAGAGAGTACAGGGAGAAGAAGAGAGAGGGAAAGAGAAAGAGGGAGAAGGGGAGATGGGGAGATTGAGAGGGACTAATATTAATAATAAAATTAGGTAGACTGTGGACCCATTATATTGGAGGCATTTATGAAGATCTGAAAATTTTTGAAGAGCCCTATTTACATAAGCATAAATAATGTATTTGTTTCACTTATGCATATATTACTTTCATACTCATTCTTATTCTGCCTCTCAGTAGAATAAGTAAGTCTAAGAGTTTTCTCAAAGCTGATTCAGCTGCAGGTAAAGAATCCCAGGAAAACATAATAAAGAATTAATAAGGAGATATTATTTTATACAAAAATAACTCATAAAATAGTTTTGTTTTTAAAACCAGCTTTATTGAGATATATGTCACATACTATAAAACTCACTCTTTTAAATATGTAATTCGGAAGTTTTAGCATTCTCACAGAGTAGTGCAATCATAATCATAATATACTTTTAGAATATTTTATCACCCCAAAAGTGACTCCTACCTCTTAGCAGTCATTCACAATTCTGTTTTGTTTCCTTCTAGGTTTTATACTATTAGCTCTTACATTTTGTTTCATTTGAGTTAATTTTTGTGAATGTTATAAGGTAAGGGTTCCAACTTCATTCTTTTGCATATGAGCATTTAATTATTCCAGCACCATTTGTACAAAAAAAATATTCTTCACCCATTGAATTATTTTCTTTTTTGTATTTATTTTTATTTTTTAATTAAATTATTATCTGTGTACATATTTTACAATTGCCCCCCCTCTGTCCCATATATACCCTCCCCCCCAGAGTTTTGTGTCCATTTGTTGTACTTACATGCATATATACAAGTCCTTCAGTTGATCTCTTATCTCTCCCAGATCTCCCTACCCTCTCCACTGTAATTTGACAGTCTGCTTGTCAAATACTGTCTCTATATCTATCTTTTCGTTCATCAATTTATAATGTTCTTTATTATCCATAAATGAGTGAGGTCATGTGGTGTTTCTCTTTCATTGACTGGCTTATTTCACTCAGCATGATGTTCTCCAATTCCATCCAGGTTGCTGCAAATGATGAGAATTCCTTCTTTTTATGGCAGCATAGTATTCCATTGTGTACATGTACCATGGTTTTTTTATCCAATCATCTGCTGACAGGCACCTAGGCTGTTTCCAAATTCTAGCTATTGTAGATTGTGCTGCTATGAACATAGGGGTGTATATTATCCTTTCTAATTGGTGTTTCTAGATTCTTGGAATATATTCCTAGGAGTGGGACTACTGGGTCAAATAGGAGTTCCATTTTCTGTTTTTTGAGGAAACTCCACACTATTCTCCACAGTGGTTGCACCAGTCTGCATTCCCACCAGCAGTGTATGAGAGTTCCTTTTTCTTTGCACCCTCACCAACACTTGTCGTTTGTTGATTTGTTGATGTTGGCCATTCTGACAGGTGTGAGATGGTACCGCATTGTTGTTTTCATTTGCATGTCTTGGATTAGTGACTTTGAGCATGTTTTCATGTGCCTCTGTCTTCTTTTAAAAATATTCTATTTAGGTCCATTGCCCATTTTTTAATTGGATCATTCATTTTCCTTTTGTTTAGTTTTATAAACTATCTATAGATGTTGGAGATTGAATCTTTATCAGTGATAACATTTGCAAATATGTTCTCCCATACAGTGGGCTTTCTTGTTGTTTTGTTGATGGCTTCTTTTACTGTAAGAAAGCTCTTTATTTTGATATAGTCCCATTTGTTTATTTTCTTTTTACCTTCCATTGCCCTAGGGGCAGTATCAGTGATGAAGTTCTTTTGGAATTTGTCTGAGATTTTGCTGCCTGTGGATGCCTCTAGTATTTTTATGGTTTCCCGTCTTATGTTTAAGTCCTGTATCCACTTTGAGTTTATTTTTATGTATGGTGTAAGTTGGTGATCTAGTTTCATATTTTGCATATATCTGTCCAATTTTCCCAACACCATTTATTGAAGAGCCTGTCTTGACTCCATTGTATATTCGTGCCTGCTTTGTCAAATATTAATTGAGCATAGTAATTTGGGTTGATATCTGGGTTCTCGATTCTATTCCATTGATCTATATGTCTGTTCTTGTGCCAGTACCAGGCTGTTTTGAGAACAGTGGCTTTGTAATACAGCTTGAAGTCTGGTATTGAGATCCCTCCTACTTTACTCTTCTTTCTCAGGATTGCTGTGGCTATTCGGGGTCTTTTATTGTTCCAAATGAACATTTGGAGAGTTCCTTCTAGGTCAGTGAACCTATAGATTGCTTTAGAAAGTATGGACATTTTTATAATTTTGGTTCTACCAATACATGAACATGGTATGTTATCTTACTTTTTTTGGTGCAATGGTAAATAGGATTGCTTTTTTAGTCTCTGTTTCTGTAAGTTCACTGTTGGTGTATAGAAATGCCATAGATTTCTTGGCGTTAATTTTGTATCCTGCTACATTGCCAAATTCATTTATTAAGTCAATTAGTTTTTTAATGGAGTCTTTTGGGTTTTTTATGTACAATATCATGTCATCTGCAAATAAGGATAACTTTACTTCTTTTTTCTAATTTGGATGCCTTTTATTTCCTCTTCTTGTCTAATTGCAATGGCTAGTACTTCCAGTACTATGTCAAACAGGAGTGGCGAGAGTGGGCATCCCTGTCTTGTTCCTGTTCTTAGAGGGAATGGTTTTAGTTTTTGCCCATTGAGTATGATGTTGGCTGTGGGTTTATCATATATAGCTTTTATTATGTTGAGGTATGATCCTTGTACTCCCACCGTGTTGAGAGTTTTTATCAGGAAAGGGTGTTGGATTTTATCAAATGCTTTTTCTGCATCAATTGATATGACTACATGATTTTTATCTTTCAATTTGTTTATGTGATGTATCACGTTTATTGATTTGAGATTATTGTACCATCCTTGCATTCCTGGAATAAATCCTACTTGGTCATGGTGTATGATCTTTCTGATGTGCTGCTGGAGCCAATTTGCTAGAATTTTGTTGAGGATTTTGGCATCTATGTTCATGAGGGATATTGGTCTGTAATTCTCTTTCATTGAGTTGTCATTATCTGATTTTGGTATTAGGGTGACGCTGGCTTCATAGAAGGAGTTTGGAAGTGTTCCTTCCTCTTGAATTTTTTGGAATAGTCTGAGGAGGAAAGGTTTTAGTTCTTCCTTGAATGTTTCGTAAAACTCTCCTGTGAAGCCATCTGGCACTGGGCTTTTGTGTGCTGGAAGCTTTTTGATGAACATTTCAATTTCTTCCCAAGTCACTGGGAATACGTTTTCCATGTCTACCTCAGTTTCCTTTCCTTCTGGAACCCCTATTATTCGAATATTGTGGGGGGGGGGGTGTTGTTTTTTTTTTTTTTTTTTGTATTGTCCCAAAGCTCCCAGAGGAGCTTTTTAATTTTTTTTTTCTAGGAGCTGCTCTAATTGTGTATTTTTCTTCCTGCTTTTTAATTTTTTTTTTTCTAGGAGCTACTCTAATTGTGTATTTTTTTCCATCTTATCTTCTATCACTGATGTGGTCCTCTGCTTCTTCTATTCTACTCTTGATGCTTTCTATTGAGTTCTTCATTGTAGTGATGTCATTTTTCATTTCTTCTTGGTTCATCTTCATTTCCGCTTGGTTCTTCTTCAATTCCTCATGGTTCTTCTTCATTTCTTCTTGGTTATTGTCAAATTTCTCTTCCATTCTTTTTAGCCATCTTATGATCATTACTCTGAATTCCTGCTCTGGTAGGTTGCTTGACTCTAACTTGTTTACTTCCTTTTCTGGTGATGCCTGCTTTTCTTTCATGTGCGGACTATTTCTTTGTCTGCCCATGGTCTCTCTTTTCAGGATGCCTGGTTATGTGGTTTTCTTTCTCCTTTCCGTGGGTGATTGAAGAACTCCCTTGAATTCACGTGTTTGCGTCAATTGGGGCATCACAGCTGCTTGATGGTCCCCTCTGCTCGATGATCTTACCAAGGTCATCCTTTCTTGGTAAGATGGCGCAGGCTTCCCTCTGAGCCCATAGCACCTAGAGCGGTCTCCACCACCGCAGTGCTGGCTGCTTGGTCAGAAAATCCTGTCCAGAGGACCCTTAGCTTCTTTTAGAGTCCTGATACCCCTTAGCTTGTTAATCTATACTCCCTGGGCGACTCCTAGAAGCTGATTCTATCTGTTCTGGGACTAGGCTCAGAACAAGTCTGTCTGATCGGTCGCCATCTTGTCTCTGCTCCCCATAGTCCTTTTTTGTCTGTGAAACTCCTGATTTCACCTTCAATTTTGAGTGATAGCCTTGATGGGTACAGTATTCTTGGATTCAGACCCTTCCTTTGCATGACTTTGTATATTTCTTTCCATTCCCTTATGGCCTGATATGTTTCTGTTGAGAAACCAGTCCCTAGTCTGATGGGGGTTCCTTTGTAGGTAACCTTCTGTCTCTCTCTGGCAGCTTTCAAGATTCTTTGTCATTGGTGTTTGCAAATTTAATTATAATGAGCCTTGGCATCAGTCCTTTGGGGTTCATTTTGCTTGGGTCTCTCTGAACTTCTTGGATTTGTGTGTTTTTTCCTCCCTATATCAGGGAAGTTTTCCATCATTGTTTCTTGAAACAAGTTTTCTATTCCTTCCTCGGTTTCCTCTCATTCTGGAACCTCTATTATGCGTATGTTGTTTTGTTTTGTTTTGTGTTGTCCCAAAGTTCCCTTAGGCTCTCATCCTGCTTTTCAATTTTTTTTCCTAGAAGTTGCTCTACTTGGGTATTTTTCCCCTCCTTGTCTTCTAGCTCACTGATGCAGTCTTCTGATTCTTCTAGTCTACTGTTGATACTTTCTATTGAGTTCTTCACAGCAGTGAAGAACTTTCATTTCTTTTTTGT